CCCCGTCAATATTGAGTCCCCGTCAATATTGAGTCCCCGTCAATATTGAAACCCCGTCAATATTGAAGCCGCGTCAATATTGAGTCCGCGTCAATATTGAAACCCCGTCAATATTGAAACCTCGTCAATATTGAGACCGCGTCAATATTGAGTCCGCGTCAATATTGAAACCTCGTCAATATTGAGCCCCCATCAATATTGAAATCCCATCAATACTGAAGCCCTATCAGTATTAACACCCCTTCAATATTGATGCGGTCCCAATGTTGGAGTCTCTTCCACCGGACATCTACTAGAGCTCCCATTGATGGAATCTTTCCTCTGAGTGTGCAAGAGGGTCGCTCCTAAAAGAGGGGACTCTCTTCTTACTTTAACGTCTGACCCAACTGCCTAACGCAGCTATGCAGATGGTGACCAGCCAAGCTACCCCCAGTTATGTACATTTTCCCCGAGATGTTGATATGTTAGTAGCCAGGCACCTCACGCTGGAATGCTACACCTGAAGTGTGAATAAGGGAGCTCGAGATTATCTAAGCGCCCTCTTTTCTAGAGCGCTCTCTTTTCCAGAGCGCTCTCTTTTTTAGAGCGCTCCATTTTTTAGAGCGCTCCGTTGGATGGAGCGCTCCCTTCTTCTTCTTCTTCTATTCATAGTCTGTCCCAGCCGCCTTGCTTCCTCTTTTCTGCTCCACCGTGGTTGCTCCTCTACTAATAGTGTAGCGGGGCGCTACGTGCATGGATTATGTAAGGGGCAAGCAAACATAGGTGGGTAGAAAGATGGCGAGAGCATTGAGCCTTTCTTGTAAGGAGAGCTTGGTGTGTGTAGCTGCTCAACAGCTTTGGCGACGACATCCTCCCTGCATGACAGGCACTCAAGTGCTAAACCGTTCATCACCTATACAATAGTCCTGATAGTTATCCTGTGTCTGTGCACTTGTCAGGCCTTTCCTGGCCTTAAAGCGCCCTCTTTTCCAGCGCTCCCTTTTTCAGAGCCTCTTTTCTAAAGCGCTCTATTACGGAATCGACCAGGTAATCTCGAGATCCCCTAATCGTGCTTTAGGTGTAGCATTCTACTTCGTGCTACGTCTTGTATCCAGAGCCTGTTGACAGCTTGAATACACTCCATTGGACCGCCTGACCCAGAACCCCCACAGAATCCCAGCTTACGCTTACTATGCTGGCGTACACTCAAGAGGTCCAGCAATTTCTAAAATTGGATTACTTAGAGCACGCTCGTTTCCAGCGTACGCTCATCGTTGGCGTACGCTTATTACTGACGTGCGCTCATCATTTCAGCAATTTCTAAAGTTGGATCACTTAGAGCATGCTCAACCCTAGCACACGCTCATTCGTGGCATACGCTCCAAAGAATTTAGACATAGCCTGGGACAAGATGAATTCCAGTTCGCTGATTCAGGGCATATCGCGTGATTATACCAAGACGTATAAAGTACGAAAATCTATCAGAAACACAGAAATACTTTATTCCTATGGCACAAAAAGTATCATAAAAGTACAAGACCAATAAAATGCGAACGCGACCTGTATACTTCCAATACGCCTCTCAAAATATAACACCAGTACCCACAATCTGTAAGGAATGAAGCAATCGTACATTTCACCGTGTCTTTCACCGTAAGGATTTCTGCTTGCAGTATAATATTAAGAGGCACCGCCTTCGTGAGAAACCGCATTGATACAACGAAGCTCCTGCAAAAAATGGGAAGAATTCGGGCTTGGTGTGATGGGAGATGTAAAGGTAGGTTCTGGGACAGTTACAAAGTGGTTATTGGTTTGACTTGTTATGTGATTTTGAAGAGACGGCGAGTCCCAGAATCCTGTACGAGTTTCCAATGGGGAAAGCGGATATCTCTTTTTAGGGATCTGCTTTGAGGCCGTCTGAGGAGTTGAACCTATCGGGACTTCATCACTGCTGACTGTGCTGCGTTGACTCGTGAATGTCTCTGCCATAAACTGATTAGCTTCAGCCAATGCATCAGCGAATTCCGTTTTGCGTGATGTCAAGACGCGTAGAAACTCGGATAGCTCGTCTTTAGTAAATTTGAAACTGCGCCCTTGATTAGCCTGGCGATATAGCATTTTTAACGAATCAGATAGAATGGAGGCAATCACTTACTGGCCTTCTGGTTCTTCGGGCGGAACAAGAAGTAATATTCCCGCACCAAATCTGTGGATAATCTCGAACCACGTCTCACCTTTCTTTCGCCAGTGTTCAATTTTGTTTTTCATTAATTCTCGATCTTTACCAGCGAATCTAGGATCAGACAAATGAATGTCCACGAGGCATTCAATCACAACGGAAGTCGCTTTTCTCTGGCCACGACCTTTTTGAAAGTGTCGCGGAACGACGTCGTGATGTCGATACCAGTCATCAATCCATTGAAGGAAGGTCGAGCCATCGCGTTTACGAACGTCCTTAACGGCGGCGTTGTATAGACTATGATAATCAGCATAATCCATTCGGGTTTGCAAAAGGCAGAGCTGTCCTCGAAGAACATTTCTATCCAATTGCTTCCCGTACCACAATATAAGCTCAGCATAGCGAAATCCTTCAGTATTAACGAAATCGCCGGCGAGGCTAGGCATAACTGTTTCATGTAGAAGCTGAGAACGCGAAACTTCATCCCAATTCTGCTTAATGGTTGAAATTAGGGTGCTTACATCGCCCATTCCAAAGGCATTAGCAAGTTCAGTAGGTGTACGGAGTTTCCTGGACCTTTTCTTCGGCTGTTCAACGCTCGTATCAGTTCGGCTCCTTTTTCGTCTGACCCTCGTTTCTATCTGTTCTTCTAGTTCTTGTGGTTCTTGTGGTTCTTCTTGTGGTTCTCCTTGTGGTTCTCCTTGTGGTTCTTCTTGTGGTTCTTCTTGTGGTTCT